GTCAGGGAGAGTGTAATCCGTCCTTACTTTGCGCCGTGTCATTACCCCTCAACCCCCCTGTAGGGTAGTGAATGTGCTGAGCATCGGAAGCGGTCTCTTTAGGCTGGCATTGGGAGAGCAGGCTGCCATTAGTGCTGCAGTTGGTGCTCCTGAAGAGACAAAAGAAATTATAAATATCACTACTCCGGCATGACACCCCACACTAGCAAAGCCTCTCATTATCACCGCCAGAGAATGTCAGGCAAGAAATAAAGACTAATGGACTAACCTCTCCGACTAATCGTTTTTCAGGCGTGCTCTCACAAAAGAAGAGCTTCCTTCAAGGAAGATTAAACTTTCTATTTTTATCATGCAAATAATTGAACCTCAGGGATGGGGGCCTTGCTGCTGCCGTGAGAGCACTCTCCCCAAATTGATCAAGTTTTCAGACATGTTTGGTAACTGCTCAAATGTTTGATAATGTTTGTTTTATTAGCTTTGCTCCTTGGGAGTATTAATTATTAGTTTTATTTAACCATTTAAATTACATGCTTAAAGATTAATCTTTATTGAGAACGATGGATTAATCCCGGGCATGAAATTCCAAAGTGTGTTTTTTTTTTTACATCCCACAACAATTAATAGGATTTTCTGCCATAACGGGATTGCGGTTTAGGTTCTTTATCTGCCTCGGTACAATAGCTGTAAATATGAATTTAGGAGATCAAACAAATTTCAGTCTATTGTTAAGAAGCTTAGTAAGAGGGAGAGAAAAAAATGTCAAGGCACGGGGGTTGGGGTGTTGGGGGGTTGGGAAGCTGGCTCTGCTCTGTTACCCTCTGCCTAAGCTTATGATCCGGGCTCACTGAAGGCAGAGGGACCGGCCCGTGGAGTTTGAAATGACTGTTCTGTCCATTCAGACTGTTGGTCTGTGCTTTGAATTATGAGTAGCATTTCAGTTAAACCACAATGTGGCATTAGGCCCTTTTATCCCTCCGCTCTATTCTATACACACTTATTCATATCCTACCCTTAATATGGCATGACTTTCACTTCCAGAGATTAGCTAGCTACCACAATGTTGCTGGCAGGGTTCATGTTGGCAAAGCTGACTAAAATCAAGCTGCTAAGGGCAAGCTTTTCCTAACCAGTGCGGTTCTAACACAGGCACATCCAGTCAGCATGGCTCTCAGCGCTTGTGTGGCAGAGGCTCAGAGCGCTAACGTGGTTTATTTTGCCTCACTGTTCATTAAGAAAAACAACAGTTTCTGTTGCACCATAATCATAGTCCCGGTGGACGATGGAATGCAGTGGTTTCCTGTTGTTTCCATTCTATTCTCTCTTTTCAGAGTTGTCCGGCATAGACTACCATAACCCTGTGTTTGAAAAGGCACTCACTGTGGCTCCCTTTTATGCTGTCCTAGCTCTTCTTATGAGCCTGAATAAAGAATAGCAGTATAACTGTGGAATCAAGCTCTGCCTCAGCAAATTTCAAGCGAGGAATCACTGCACACTAGTATAGCTTTGAATTTGACATGGTCCACATAAGATTAGCAAAGCTAAATTTGGATACTATCCACACTGTAACATGCCTGGAAGGTCATTTTAATGTAAATGTGAGAGGATTATAACTAGATGAATTTTAAGATGACATACCGTATACTATAACCATGTCTTGATGCTCTGTCAAATCTGGTTAAAAAAAAATCAGCAGCTGGATGCTTCAGTACATCCACCACTATTTTCCCTCTATCAGTGTGAGTTGTGATACCATCTGCACTGTAGCTTGGGCAGTAGGTCACTTTAATGTACTTGTAAGAGGATTGTAAGTAGATGATGTTTAAGATGAGTATAACCACAGTCACTATCCTAAAAGATGAAAAATAAAGTTGGCCTAACCAGTGCATTCACATTCATTTTTTGCTATTGATCTGATTTGGAATGCCAGTGTGAGAAGTGTGCTTCAAGACTTCAAATGTCAAATGATTTCTGAGTTTCAGTAAATATGCGCTGTGCTATAGGTCAAATATAAGCCCCAAAAACTGTACCCCAGAAGTGCAGAATGTTTGGGTGATGGTGGGATACTGTCCTAAAATGTCTGCATTTTTTTTTTTTATTTTACTGCATTTGAAACCCTACAGAAATAAATTACATTTTTTTTCTGTAATGCTTATGCAGGTTTGTATTTCAAAATGTTATGTTTTTAAATGTTTATGTATCTGTCAGATCTGTATCTGAAAAAAAAATTGGATATCTGCATTGACTCACAATTTCCATTGTATGCCTGAAGTAAAAACTTTGTCTTCTCAGATTGGCAGGACTGTTGTGCTCTAAAAAGATTTTTACAAATGACTAATTTCAGTTTCATACATTTCTGTTGGCTTACATCTTTTATGAGCATCGAATTTATGTAATTCCTGTCGCGGATGACATTTGTCAGCATCCCAGCAATGTATATCATTTTGCAAGGCTTCCACTGGCGGAGCTGTGGCTCTGTTTCAAATCAAAGCTGACCTGCTATCAGCCGAGTGCAGCGGGTTGAATGCTCGACTACAAAGGCAGCCCTCGACTGCATGTGACTGTGTGGTCATGGCAGTCAAGCCAAGCCAGAAAGCTGCTACCTTTCCACTGGCTCTGTGTGGGGTTGTGACTCACCGCTATGGTGAAATACAATCTCGATGAGCTCGTATTCTCATCCCTGCCCAGACAAACGCCTGCACTGTCAAACACTGCTAGAACTGCCCTGTTCCTGCCATAGGATGCAGAGTGACATGGCTGTGATTCACAGGTGCTAACATTGACATGGTAATCTCTTGCTGCTTCTTGCAGATTCAAAGGAGAAAAAGAATTACTTCCGACAACAAAGCGGCACTAAGAAGCGCATTGGTCTTCTCTATTCAGTTCAGCGTCTGGGCTGCATAATGAAAAGAGACCTGTCAGGCGTTGCAGAGGCTAAAAAAATCGACAAACCGTAATAAACAAAGACCCTATTGCTTGTGTTCCTGACAGCACTGATGCTAACCTTTGAACAGTGGTTATTTACACCACTCGCTCGCTTCTTGAGCGCAGCTGTCGCTGTGCCATAAAAAAGGAGAGAAGCACTCTTTCTTACATTGAACCAGCAGCCAGCAGGAGAGAGAGAGAAAGAGAGTAAGAGACAAACAGAGAGAAAAAGCAGGGACAGAAAGTGGGAGAATGAGAGAAAGAGGTGGAGAAGGGAGCGCTAATGTTTGTGCCTAAAGAGTGAAAGGGGTTTTTGGGGTTGCAGGAAAGCGCTGGCTCAGCAGGTCCCTGACAACTGCTCCGGCGGGATGCGCCTTTGCACCTCCAGCGTGTGCAAACTCAAACAAAGGAGCAGCATGAACGGCAGGCCCAAGCCCAGGCGTGGCTTTATAACCCCTTTTATACCCCATTTATAGCCATGCTAATACAGTGCTCCTGGGAGCTTCCCCAACACCTCATCTAGCACACACACTGCTCTGCTCCATTCGCAGAACCATTTTTCTGAGATCAGGGCGCCCTTGTTTGAAAAACGACAGGCTTCTCAGCAGGGCTTCATAATGCTGTTCACTGCAAAGGGTGTAAAAGGGTATCAGGATCTCTAATGCAAATTTTGGCGCACGAAAGCGCTGCTTATAATTCTGCCCTTGTCTTTTACCTTTGATCACATTGCCTTCCTATTATCCTCCAAATGCAAATGTGGGGAATAATGGCATCTAACTTTTGACAGGTTCTATTGCGTCAGTGCAGCCTTATTCTGCTAAACTTCCCACCTTGTTGGATGTAATTACCTACGTTTGGCGGCTATGCTTAATCATATTTGATTTTCAGAGGCGCAGCCATTGTCTCCATTTGCTGGCCCCTTATGTCGCTCGCCTGTGATAATGTATGCAGATCAAACAGGAAGGAACTGCAAAGAATACAAATGTGGTGGATGTAGTTGGACGACGGCACTCGTATCTCTAATGGTGGCCTGATTCGTTTAGGAATGATTGCTCTGCTGCCAATGATTAATCCCCCCAGGGTTTGATTGTGTCAGATGGAGAGAAAAAAAAGGAGAGGAGGAAACAACGCAGGAACAAAACTGGAAGGCATAATTAATAGATTCAGATCCTGTTAAACAGCCCCCTAAAAGAGCAGAGAGTGAAAAAGGGTGTGCAGAACTGGCGCCCAATTTGTTCACACTTTGTTCCAGTAATAAGATCCAGGCCTCCCCCGTGCAGTGGACGAGATAATTAACTCCCCGAGATACACTTGTGAGAAAGGGGCCACCCTTTTGATTTATTGTATGCGGTAGACAGATCTCTGCCGCCCTTTTCAAAATGCTGTTACATAAATTGCATACTGTCCTTGATGTATTTTTTCCCCCTAATAGACTGGAAAAGCAGATGGAGAAAGGCAGAAGACAAAGGCACTTGTGCAACGAAAAGAAAGGGCCAGTGCTAACATTTGTTCAGAATGAATCCCTTTAACCACTTCTACTTTTATCATGAATGCATAATTTTAAGTTTAAAAGCACATTCAGAGCAAATTATACTATACAATTCCTCAGCAGCCAATAGTAGTTGTTCGATTTGTGTCTTTAAAAAATGACTGATAATGGGAATTCAAATAAATCTAATAATGGCAGTTCAAATGAATTGGCCACCAGCTTCTGGTGCTCAAATACTAAGGGGCACAACCCCTGTGGAAACTGTTGGTTAAGAGCTGTTTGTAGAAACTGCTGTCTCAGTACACAAGTAAGTGCCATGACTCAGGTGGTGCTAATTTATGTTGATATGAAGTGCCCTGCCTCCCTACATTGTGCTGGCCTTCACAAAAGCTCCTTTGGAATGCAAAGTTAAAGCTTTCCTGTCATTGTGTTCGTGAAAGACTTGATGGAAACTCTGGACTCAGAGGCACTAAGTCTGGTCAATGAGCAGCTTTTTCCATTGACTTTTATCTCTTTCCCTTTAGCTTGTATGTGAGTCACGATGGTCTTAGTCTTACTAATTCATGCTCTGTCTTTCTATCTCTTGCAGAAAAATGTGAAGACAGTGAAAGAGGCACAGGAGAAAGAGGGCAAAGAGTTAACTTTTAGGACGCTGAAAGGAAGGTCATACTTACTGATACCCTTCTAGATTCTTACTTTTGCTCCCTCCGACTTTGTGGGTCTTTCAGATCATGGAGGGCCAGCGAGATTCACAGAGGACTTTCCTAGTAGGCTCATCCAAGGCTATCGTGTTGCCCTTGTGTGGGTGGTTCTTGCTGCTGACCCTTGCCATGACATGCGGCGGAAATTCTTTTACTACTTTCCACCCGGAAAGGCGAGAATGGTCCTTCAATCACCTGACGGTCCACCAGACGACAGGGGCACTCTACATTGGTGCTGTTAATCGTGTCTACAAACTCTCTGGCAACCTGACTCTCCTGGTGTCCCACGACACTGGTCCAGAAGATGACAACAAGGCCTGCTACCCTCCTCTTATTGTCCAGCCCTGTTCTGAACCACTAGTCTCTACCAACAATGTCAACAAGCTCCTTCTTATCGATTACTCTCATAACAGGCTGCTGGCCTGTGGGAGCCTCTACCAGGGTGTTTGCAAGCTACTTCGGCTAGATGATCTCTTTATACTAGTAGAGCCTTCACACAAGAAAGAGCATTACCTCTCTAGTGTCAACCAGACAGGCACCATGTATGGAGTTATCGTGCCCTCCCAGGGCAAAGATGGAACACTCTTCATTGGCACTGCTGTAGATGGCAAGCAAGACTACTTCCCAACCATCTCCAGCCGCAAACTGCCCCGTGATCCAGAGTCCTCAGCCATGCTCGACTATGAAATGCACACTGACTTTGTCTCCTCGCTCATCAAGATTCCTTCAGACACCCTTGCGCTGGTCTCCCACTTTGACATATACTACATTTACGGCTTTGCCAGTGGAAACTTTGTCTACTTCCTGACTGTGCAGCCAGAGACCCCAGAAAATGGTATGGCCTCCAGCGGCTCCTCCAACGACTTGTTCTACACTTCACGCATTGTCCGCCTGTGCAAAGATGACCATAAATTCCATTCCTATGTGTCACTGCCAATTGGTTGCGTGCGTAACGGGGTGGAGTACCGATTGCTGCAGGCGGCCTACCTGGCTAAACCTGGAAGAGTTCTTGCCGCCTCGCTCAACATCACTGTCACAGATGATGTGCTCTTCACTGTCTTCTCCAAAGGCCAGAAGCAGTACCACCGGCCCCCAGACGATTCGGCTCTCTGCGTCTTCACCATCAAGGACATCAACGCCCGCATTAAGGAGCGCCTGCAGTCTTGCTACCAAGGGGAAGGCAACCTGGAGCTCAATTGGCTGTTAGGGAAGGACGTTCAGTGCACCAAGGCGGTAAGGGACTTTTTGTTCTATGTAACTACATGACAGATTTTAACGAATAACAAATGGTCTTGATTTCTTAATGAGCTGTGCAGATGAACCATGATGTTATATTATGTTACGAGTCTAAAATAGTAATAATTCAAGCAACAAGCTGTTCAAATTTCTTTTTAATGCTGTAACTGCTCTAATTGCACTTGCTTAGTGCAATATCATTTTTAAATGTAAAAGCTTTTCAAGTACTAGCGGCTGCCTTTTCTCTTTTGAGTACATCCACACATGCTCACACTCTCTTACGCCTGCTTTGGTTCTCAAGAAAACATCAGCGCGTCAAACAAAGTCATTAGCTTGTTTTGTGCTTTCTTTGAGTGTCCATTGAGAATTCTATCAGGGCCGTAATGCTTATGCAGCTATTTAGAGTTCAAACATCATCTTATCTCTCCCTCTTTCAGAGGTGGCAGCATTCACTTAGAGCGCTGCTCACCAGTGACCCCCAAAGCCACAAGATTAAGAATGTAGCATGACAGTTGACACAGAGGAGCTTAAACAAAGTCTGCAATCCTGTCAGATTCTGTTTAGCAAATAAATGAAAGTTATTTATCTACCAGTTGTAATTAAAGGTAATTGGTTTACAGCTCTGATAGGATGGGTAGCCACATTACAATGTATCAGAAAATGTTCACCAATTAGAATGAGTTTATTTCTCTTGGCAAGCATCAAAGCAGTAATATTCTCCTCCAGTGCATTACAAACAAACAGAGCCATCGTAGTCCGGGAGAAGGAAGGGTGGAAGGGAAGAGAGAAGGAGAAAGTACGAGAGAAGAACCTGTCCAAATTCCCCATTTTCTCACTGTGGTCAGAATGAAATACCTATTTGTAAACTGTCTGTAAGAGAAAATCTGGACAAAGCCAGTGCGTAAGAGGAAAGGCAGACTTAGGAATGAAAGGAAGAAAGTGAGTGGAATTGTGTAGAATCTTAAACATAGCGTCAACAGTGTTTACTGAATGAAAATACATGCAGCCTAACATAACAGAAATTACAGTAATGTAATGTAACCTGTTTCATTACATTTAACATGTTATTAGCCTTAGTTAATGAACATATATGGCCTGACTGAGGCTAGCTTGAAGTTCATATGCATAGTTTATCAACAATCAATGTAAAGTGGGTAGTTTGCAGCTTTTATGCTTTTTTTGTCATGGGACTCATTATATAGACTGTTAGCTACCGATTACAATTGTAGGAGCAACATGACATTTCAGAGTCATTTGTAGTGTGCATTAGCACCGTGTCACAAATATGTGGCTAAAAATCCTGTTGTGATCATGCTGTAAACTACATTTAGGATGGTGTAATCTCTGCTATAGTCCTTTATAATTGGCTTTGGTGCTACTGGTTAAAATTAAGCGGCAGGAGTCGTGTTGTGCATCACTAAGTAGGTCTATCAGAACCAGTTGTGCCTTTGCACCTTAATGCATACAACTCAAAACTGTCTTCAGGTTGAATGAAAACACTGCCTATTTAAATATTAATTGTTTATCTGAAATTAAGGTTTATCCGAAAGCATTGGTTGAACAATTATGTATTTGTCGATCTGTTAACAGTTCATTGGTTAGCAGCCCTAACTGATATTAGTATCCACAAAATTTTCATATGGTTTGTGCCTTAATGAAAATCTCTTCTACTTAAAAAAACTATAACAGAATTTCTTTGCTTGTGTCATTGAGCTATGAGTGAAAAATAATTAACATAATTTTAAACCAGCATTTGTTTTTGCCTGCAATAACAACCACTTTTAAGGGTTTATGGTGAACCTTACTAGATAAGTATCTGGACTTTCTTTATGTTCATCCACCCCCAGCACCTTCCAGATACACCGCTGACCCCTTTATTAAGATTAGTAAATTCAGCATTAGTGCAGTGTCAGGGGTGAGCGTCAGTTGGAGAAAGACACAATGGAGAGTGAGTAGGGTGGTCTTGTTTGTACTGCTGAGAGGCAGCAGATTGGGGGTTCTGCCATGGTACTCCAGCTCCATTCCACCCATGGTGAGACACCTCCCATCAACCCCCACTGGGCCTGTCAGTGGCTTCTGATGTCAGCCAGGCCTCCTTCATGTTTTTCTAGGCCTCATTAGAAACACTCAACATGCACTTAAGTCTCTCTTTCTGTTCTGTCTCATTTTGACTGTAGAAGAAGGACACCAGTGGAGAGGATGTGCATTGTAAAAAAGCCTTGGTCAATACTTGCTCAATAAATCTATAGTATTTAAAGGATTAAGCAGGTAGTTTTTTAACGATTCAAATAAAAAGCATGCTAAGCCCACGTAGATTAGCCATGGCAGCAGAGGGAGTAGAACACCCAGTGCCCTCTTCTTGCCACATAGCTATTTTCCTTCCCTTTTAAAGACCCAGCAGGAGTATGAAAATATTTGTACAATGAAATATATACTCCTCAAACATCTTTTTTCTTGACACAGAAAATAAACTCCTTTTACTCCAAAAGTATTGCCAGCACTCCGTGGAGTCACTCAGGCCCAGACGCAATTGTTTTTGTTTAATTTCCTGCTAGTTATTCCTGACTATTTTTGATGGCTGCAGATGTGACCATCTCGTCTGGCCTGTCTCCAGCAGGGTACTACTGTGCTAACACAAACCACAGCGAGACTTGGTTATTGAACTTGGTACAGTTCCTTTGCCTCAATTCCCTTTGTAGAAGCCTCTACAAGAATATACAGTTGCATGCAAAAGTTTGAAAACCCATGGAAAAGTTTAAACAATATATATTGTTATCATGATAAATTATGTCACAGTGTCACAATATGCTTTTCTGAGCATATCATGGATATTGTACTTCCCAGTACTTCCCAACTGTGTGTTTGATTACAAAGACAGCATAATTAATCTTGATTGATTAGATTCAGTGGAGCATGGCATATAAATGTTAAATACAAATCATTGGATTTATAGTTTGTGATAGTAATTTTTAATTGTGGTGCTACTTTGTTCCAGCGTATCAAGTCAAAATGCGGGTTTGTTGATTTTCTATGGTTTTGTTGTCTTCTATACATCTTCTACAGGGATCAAACTTAAGCATATTTTCTGCAAATATTAGTGCACTATTTCTATTTATTTGCTGAGTTTATCATATTAGAAAAAAATAACATATAAAATGTGCCATAAGCTTTGCACAGGACAAATATAATATATTTTTTTCTCAAGATGTTAAGTTCTGCTAATAAGCAGTAATTGTGAATTAAATTGTACAGAAGTGTGTTCTCTGTAGAGGATGTGTGCTTATTTCTGCTACAACAAATTCACACTTTTGCATATGTCATATGTTAATAATATATTATTGTATTGTCATAGTTGTAACAGAAACTCACCAAGAAAAAAAAAATGTCAAAAGATAATAATAATAATAATAATACATTTACAAGGCATAGGAAAAGATATTTTTTTACTCGAATGTTGTGAGATTTTAGAATTTTTGACCATTCCTGTTGGTCCATTCTTTGGAAATGTTCATACTATGTAAAAACAGCTGCCATTTTCAAACAGTATATTTAATTTATATATATAGTTATGAGAAAAATATATTATTGTGATTCTTCAAGACATAACATGCTGCATCTTGATATTTACCTTTTCTGAAGTTTGATAAGCTGGAACAGACAAAAAGGATCAGTAGTGCTGTGTTTAAAAGTTACTTTCAAAATTAGAGTTAGTACATTGCTTTTTAATCAAAGTTTCACATACTGCGCTGCGCTAAATCCAGTTAAACAAGGCTAATTATGTGCTTTGTTACATGCAGGTAGTCAGTGTTCTTTAACAGACCTACCAGGATTTTGTGGCCTAAAATGTTCGATTTTTTAGCAGCAATTTCAAAACTTGCAAGGCAAAGATGTGTGAAGATTATCAGTCTGATGTTTATTTAACTTGTTTAAAATGTAACCTTGTTAGTTTCTCTCAAAACAAATAGAAAATTAAGTCTACCACTGAGAACCAAGAACATGCAACACAACAGACTCAAGATTAAAAAATATAACTCTCTTTTGAAGTCTCCTGCCTTCCGCCCAATGAGTGCTGGGATAGGCTTCAGCGTCCCCCCGCAACCCAGGAGGATAAGTGGCTTAGAAAATGTGTCTTTGTGTGTTTTAAAGTCTCAAAGAGAGTTTTACATGAAAATTATGTATTTAAAATTGTCTACAACAACAACAGTGTTGACAGATCACACACTTTACCAACTGAACATGTTCTCTAAATAAAGTGAACTTTATCCAGTAGCACTTCGAACTCAACTAATATGAACTCAGCAGCTAATGTGCTTTTTATCAACCAACACAATGCAGAAACATCCAGTATGTATATTGCTATGAATCACAAAGCAAGCAACTGCTTGCAAAAGACACTGAAATGTGTTCAAACAGGTGTGCAGAGAAGCAATCAAAATGAAACTGACAAAGTCACGGTTTTGCGTAGCTCAGATTTCAGACGATCCACCCAGTCTGTTGCCGGAGAGGCCGATACTACAGCTTCCTGGATTGTAGCATAGAAGCTACATGCTTTGTTTTGAAAGCACATAACAGATTTAAATGTTTAGTTAGACAGTAATGCAGTGATTGGACAAAATAGCAAGCTCTGGTAAATACTTCGAGGATTGGTTTAAATTGCGTAAATTTTGACACAAGATCGTAAATTCCTAAAGGGTCTACTTTAAGTACTGTCACTATCTACAATATGCTCAGAAAAGCATATTGCGATGTAATGTGACTGACTTTATCACAGTAATGATAAATATTATATTTTCTACCCTATCAATAACACTTTCTGTTGTATTATAAAGTAATATATTCATATGGTAGTAAGGGAGGGTGGGCAGAGGAAAAAAGAAAACAAACAGAAAATCAAAGATTTATCACGTCTTGCTTGCTGTTGTCTCCTAGATAGCGCTCAGCCTTAGCCACCTTGCTCTGTGCTCTGGAATGAAAGTTTGACAGTATTCAGGTATTCA